CGCCGATACGTGGATGATATACTTTGGATAACAGATAGTCACGGTTGCACGGAACAAATTTTGTCCCATCTAAATTCAGTGTACCAGAATGCTAAGTTCACCCTCGAATCCGAACGCAATGGTACGATGTCCTTCCTAGACATCCAGATTATCAGAAGACCTAATGGGTCGATCCAACGGAAAGTACACAGAAAAGCAAGTTGGAACCGAGAATATATGCACCTTGCCAGTTTTGTCCCAGTAAATTAGAAATAAACTTAAGTAGATGTTTTGAAAGAAAGAGCCAGAAATATCTGTAGTGAGGACACGCTTCTGGATGAGCGGAACTTCTTAAGTGGCCTTTTCCAAAGAAATGGCTGTCCGGAAAATTTTGTTTGTAAAAATATGGAGTGCTGAGACGATAGCTAAGGCAATTTCGGTCGGAAAGTGCTTAGTTTACCTATCTTTACCGTTCAAGGGGATGGAATAGCGCAGGCAACGTTCCGAAAGCTATCCGACGCCAATGACCATACCTACCATGCAGCAAGATTACGGCTAAGCCTTACTTCGACACCAATGGTGATGCAGCAACTCAAGGATAGACTTTACTGGTCGAGCGCTTCTTTATGTGTATACTCATTCGCTTGTCCATGTCGAGCAAGATATATCGGATGAACCACTAGGAGAGTGTCTGAGAGAATCCGTGAGCATTGCCCCTGCTTGGTTGCATAACAATGTGACGAAAACAGTGACGAACGCCATGTTGGCACATTTAGTTGGTTCTAACCACTAAATCTATACTTACCAGTCTTTCCAACCCACTTGCCGCGTAACTGGACGCCACAAAAGAGCGGTGAGATATGGCACATTAGAAACAGCCGAAGCGATTGCTATCCGCCTCTAGAACCCAGATCTGTGGGCGCAAAAGCGAAGTGTGCAGTTTTTTGTCTGCCTTGGCCCCTCACCACAATAACCCATGTTGGGGAATACGCCACCTTCATGTACTTGATCGCTTCCGAACCAACCACCTAGCCTCTGTCATTCAGATATTCCAGACCTTTGTATAGATGTTTGGACCAAAGAACCTATGAGACGCTAGTATTACGAGTAAAAAGGATAACTACTGATGTTACGCAAGTAGCGGAGAGGTTATTTAATTTTTGAATAAAAAACATGCGTCCAGATAGATTTCGCAAGAAATCGCCCAAGCCCCCTACTCCCCTCAACTGCCGTGCTCGCGTAGACCGCCGGCTTCCTCCATAGGCGAGCACCTATTGGGCTCGGGTTACCGGATAGAGCTGGGCTCAGCCCCCAAAGTTGTGCTGCGTCACGTTAATCCACGCTTCCTTCGGTTTTCTGAGGTCGCGATAAGCTCTGTGCGTTCAAAAACAATTATTTGTCAGCTTAAGGTTGCCAAGGAGGTAGAGGTAAACTTCCGTCACTCACACTGCACACCCAATGTCAGCCATGCGTATCAGTTATTGTTAATGACACTGAAGAGACAGTACGAAATGCATGCATCTACCAGTATTCGTCTACTTTCCACGCTTCCCAAAGTCCTGAAGGGAAGCAAATGTCTTCATTTTTGATTGTCAGCAGATGTGCACATTCGTAAAAGAAATGTACGGTCTTTGAACCCATAGAGTACTCAGTAGCGCCCTTCATCCCACTTCCAATATCAACAACAGTAACCGTTCACGATACAGAAAATCCTTGTGCAAATATCCCCCAACACCCTTTATGAACCTTGTGGTAACAACGCACGACCACAGCCCGAGTGCAGCGATTCGAATAAAGCATCTGACTTTGCCACAAAATCCATGGTCTCTTTATCCTCCAACTCCAGGCTGACATGTGACCGGCACCTATTAGACAGCCGACGGGGTTCAAAGACAAACTCAAGATTATACTAAAACACGCCACAAGAGAACACAGATGCGATCACTCACGTACTATAAAATGTATATAAGGAAGGCTACTCGTTAACGCAGCTTGCCATTTTATTATCCCATAAAGACATTGTGATACGAATTGAGAGATAAAATTAAATCGTGACTTATTGCTTAGCACGTTAGAATGCAGTGACGGTCTTTGCTATCCGCAGAAAAGTCTTCATCAGCATATTCTCGTGAAATATCCAGTAATTTACGTAGACAGTGAGTGAGCGCACTGATTCATGTGAGTAAATTAGCTATGTATCACACTAAGCAACAACCTCGCTTAGTTACCACATGTGAACGAAACAATCCTCCTGCCTCCCGACACTACATACTGAGATGTAGCACACCAAGTGTTACGGATCGGACCTGTAGTTCCCATACAAAATCTTCTGGTCTACTGAGCAAGCAATGGAAAGTTCTAAATAGGTCACTAAAGCAATCGCCTCGATTCAGCGGCATTCCAAAGCGGACATATGTTGATAACGTTGCGTCCGTCTACATCAGTTCTTGCAAGAGGTTTCCTACAAAAATACTCACCAATAAAATCCCCCTTTGGTGCACTCTATCACACTGCACAGCAAGTTCATCTACCGGACGAAAGTACAAACCTATTTGTGTTCGTGTAGGCACTTAGTATTCGTCTGTTGTTCCACATCTAGTGCAATAAGTACGGTCAGGGCCTCGTCCACTCCCTAAACTGTTCCAACATTTCAGAAGGATGTCGACATTGTTGATGGTTAAAAAATGATTTCTGCAAAATCGAACCGGAAACTTAAGTCTTCAGTTACCCTCACCGGGCCTAAAGTAAATGAAGAAGGCGAACTTGTATTTCTACAGCCTCCACCAGTTGTATACAGACCAGCTGGGCGGCTGACATCAATCAGAGCTACACACTGGTAATCTGCACCAACGTACAAGAATCAACGTCAAGTTCTTTAAATGGAAAACAACTCGATAATATGGGATAATTGGGGTCCATATGTGACAGCAAACGTGTTGTAATTAAGCCCTCCAAAGTGACACAGATCACGCGTCACCCAAACTCACAGCACTACGGTAAACCGAGAGAATTTCTCGTGTTTTATTGATTTCTGCTGGTGAAGCAGAAGCTATCCTGTTGTCGACACCGTGCCTCCGGTGTCCATCATTTTCCATCCGCATCTTCGTGGATATCCCGTGGAGCAAGCGCAAACAGGTGAAGCCCGAATTAGAAGAACACGGAAAGGGATTCGTAGCCAGGACCATTCTTGTACACGGTGTTCCCGAGGCTAGAGGTCACGATGAGCGCGAGGCGATCGCCCACGACCAAGAGCAGCGGCGATACATTCGAGATACCCTGGCGCTGGAAAATGTCATAACGCAGTCAGTCTCAGGGTTTTGCAGATCTCCAAATTACAGAGGAAATGCCCCGAGGCTTGTAAAAGTGATGCTACAATCCAGGCAAATGTCAAATAGGGTGTTAGAGAGCTGGTATGCCGGCCGTAAAATACAGCGTGCTTATGTTTGTCTGTGAAGGAGTGTGAGCCGACTCCGTTGATGAAACGTGGCTCCCATCCGCATACCTCCCGGTCTTATTACTTCAGGTTTGCAGTGCATATGGGGTGTGTGGTTTGAGCTGTGGATGGTGCAGCGCAAGCCATCCATGGTCCCTCTGTAGGCGCAGGCGTCCTGTGGTTGGCCACAATGACAGGCAAATGCAAAACCAGATGCAGCCAACCATGCCGGCCGTATCAACCTTCCTTCTGAGCTCCGGATCAAAGCAGCTTCCATTAGTACACATACGAAAGCAACCACTTAGTCGGACCACCTCCAGATAACAGCTCGGATAACTTCAGTCAGTTAGCCAATGAAACTTGCGAACACACCCCATACACTACATATAAAGAGGGGAACATAGATATAATGGCGGGATCTCTGGATCTGGCACAGACGAGTTCGTCATCAACCCACCCAAAAAAGGATTAGTTGCCGACCTTTTACTTATCGGCACAACATCATACCCAAAATGCACATCCCAAGACTCATTGCTAAGAACAGAGAAACTTTCCTGCATGTACACCAATGCGCAAGGTCTCCTGAACAAGCTTACCGAACTGCGGCTACGTCATGCATCATAAGCCTGGGATCTCATATTCATAAGGGAAAGTTGGCTGCATTCAGAAATCACCGACTCCGAAGTCGTGATACATGGTATGTCCCTTATTCGAAACGATCACCCTTGTAATGGCGGTTGGGTAATTTAATACTACCGTAATGACATGCAGTGCAAACCGGTGGACGATCCGGAAACGCTGCTCACAGACTCGCTCTGGTGCAGTCTGCGACCAAGGCGCAATGACACTTGCCTTTTGGCAGTTTATTTTCGTCCCCCGATCTCCACCGCAGAGATGGACTCCCACCTGACAACGGTATCGGGGAAAGTATTTCAATAACGATACAGCCATGTTCTCATCTCAGGCGACCTCAATGTTCACGATTTGGAAATTCCAGCTTCTCCCAACGAACAATTCAAGGCAGACCTGCAAGAGCTTATTGCAAGCATACCGCTCATTAGCCATAGCAGTTCGCCCATCAGACTCAGAACAGGAAATAAGCCATCTGTGCTTGATCTAATGATCATGAACGAAGAACTCGTGATCGAGAAACCAAAGATGGAGAGGCCTCTGGAGTGAAATGATCACGTAACAATACTTTACGACTACATGTGTTATACGGAATATCCACAAGAACATAGTGACTTGTTTCGAACAAACACACACTACCACGCACTCACAGGACTAGTTGGGGATGTCATCTGGGATTTTTCGGACAATTGCTCCATTGATACTGCATGGAGGGAGTTTGCTGACAAGTTAAATGATATGATTAAATCCGCGTCGGTAAACAGACCCATCAGTTCTACAAAAGCATCATCAATCATTAGGAGCAGAATCCGAAAACACATGGCGTTAAGAGACGCAGCGTGGTATGTGTGCAGGGCGAGCCCTAATCCCTATTATGTAGTGCATCGTAAGCACTGTACTACACTTGTACATGAGGACAAATTAGTTCACGAGAAGAGCCTAGCAGAAAGGTTTTGTGCTAACAACAAGCTTCTGTCATCATCATCATCATCAACAGCAGTACATCAGCCATTTGAACTGATGCTTCGCTGCCATACAACCATGAGGACCTGTGAAATAAAGAATAAGAGGGAGAGAAAGGGGGACTTACCTGAAAACCTTAATGCCCTAAGCAAACATTCAGGGTCAAGGCGCCTACACCTTGTGTAGACAACATACCGTCACAAACAGCTGGCTATCGTGCAAAGATAAGGCGGCTTCGGCGAGACAGCTTCCTTGCGGCTTTCACTGACACGCGTCATAATCAGCCATTACCCCGCAGATAACTCAGCACCAAACACACTTTAAACAGACAATCCGATTAGGAGACGGCAGCAAACGCGCCACTGGTGTCTATTGCGAGCCATGTCCTGTAAAGTCTCGAGCCAAGCACAAGGTGAGTCACGTGGACTCCAACCCGGAAGGCGAGACGGACCAACGGCACCCAGTTTAGTCGTCAGTGACTTCGTTTCCCGCTGCCAAGTCAACTTCTGTCCACCTCGAGCCTTGCGCCATCTACACCTGCTAGACTGAACAAGGCCCTCCTGGGTAAGCGGCGACCAGGCATACGTAGCACGTGCCCGAGCCAACGCAACTTATTCAGCGCTATCTGTTGTTCTAGGGAGCTAGCATGATTGTCATTACCTAGTAATCGCCTACGCACATAATCGTTGCGGACACGCTGGTGCCATCCGACTCCAGCAATGCTTCGAAGACAACGATGATCAAAGACTTGAAGGCGCCTCAGATCTTCAGACCGAAGGGGCCAAGTTTCACTACCATACAGCAGAACGGCCCTCACTGTGGCCTTGTATACACGGTCTTTCAGACGGAGGGATACTCCCTTCTGTCGCCAAAGATGACGCAGGTTCAAGAAGGCAGCTCTGATCTTTGCAATGCGTGAGCTCACGTCAGTTTCTATGCGCCCATCATTACTGATGCAGCTGCCAAAATAAGTGAATTGATCAAACACCTCGAGTTCCTCGTTAGCAAGTGTCAAGGGGTTATCAAGTGGCTGGTGGTCCTGCAGCAACACTTTGCACTTTGAAGGTGCGAAGCGCATACCAAATAATGGAACCACTCTGGATAGGCTATTCAGGATTGATTGTGCCGCCTCAACAGTGCCGAAAAGCAAGACGATATCGTCCGCATAATCTAGATCAACTAACCTTTCACCAGGCAGCACTTCAACGCCTACATCGTGAGATTCCGCAAGGGAACACTCCATGATAGAATCCACGACGAAATTGAACAAAAATGGGGAAATCGGAAAACCCTGAGGAACGCCACTTGTAGTTGAAAAGCTATCCGATAGGACACCGTAGACCCTGACGCGGCCTGTAGTGTTCGAGTATAGAGCACAAAGGATGTTCACATATTTCGTGGGAACACCTTTTCGCGCAAGTATTTCAAACAGAATCGATCGATCGACTGAATCGAACGCACTCTTGAAATCGAGGAACACAGCTATTGTCGGTCTGCGGTATGCGTGGCGCTGCTCTAGCACCTGCCGCAAAGTAAGTATGTGGTCTATACAGCCACGTCCTGGGCGAAAACCGGCCTGCTCTTCTCTAATCCGAAATTCCCGTCCTGCAGTGAGGCGACGAACGATAATCGAGGCCAGTAAATTTGTCACAACTGGCGTTAGGCTAATACCCCTGTGGTTCGCACAGTCTGTGCGACTGCCTTTTTTGTATATTGCCACTATAATCGATTCGCTCCAATTAGCCGGCACACTCTCTTCGTTCCAGATACGTTCGAATAGGGAGGTCAGTGCCTTGCAGAGGACCTCACCTCCATCCTTAAATAGTGCAGGTGGGAGGGAATCCGGGCCAGCGGCACGAAAACGATTGAGGGCTGTGATCACGTTTCGGATCTCGGCCTCCGACGGAGGCTCTAAACTAATCGTCCATGGCACGTCCTGCATCACCTGAGTAGGAAGAGGTCCGGGAGCAGGGGGCCAGCTGAACTGATCTTCAAAGTGTTCAGCCCAACGAGCCATACGGCGCTCCTTATTGTGTATCAGTGCACCCGCGCTGTCTCTGATTGTCTCAGTGACGCCTGATTTTCTGGGACCAGTGGTGCGGACCAGCTGGAAGAGCTTGCGGTAATTGCCTACTGCTCCTGCCTTCTCCATTTCTTGAGCCCGACTGGTCCACCAGGCTTCCTTGTCAGCACGCAGGCTCTGCTTTAGTTCACACCTAATAGCCCGTCTGGTCACATTGTGTTCAGAACCAGCCGGGAGCTGTCTTCTAGCTTCCAACAGGTTCACGGACCTCTCGGATATCCAGTGACTGGTGCGGTGACGACTGATAGTGCCACAAACAGATGCTCCTGCGTCGTGCATAGCGGCCGAGATCCTATTCCACTGAAGTTCAGTGTCATTAGAACTAGACAGCGAGAGTTCGCTATGCAGTGCATCTTGATAGGCTTGCCTGACCGAGGGCGGGGACAATTTCTCTGTTGCCAATCGAGGGAGACGCTTTGTGCGCCTCCCGGTAAAGTTCATGGAGAAACGACAGCGCACCAAGGCATGATCAGAGTCGACACACGTACTCCAGTAGGAGCGGCAATCCAGAATGGAACCGCGCCACCTGTAACTTATGGCTATGTGGTCAATTTGGGTCCATCGCTGGCCAGCTACAGGTGGACGCCAAGTGGCACTTCGGCGCCCACTGTGTCTAAAAGCAGTGCTGGTAAGAAACAACTGGTGCTCCGCACACAGTTGCAGCAGACGCTCACCGTTGTCAGTCCGTTCGGAGTTAAGTCCATACTTACCACCCAGCTGAGCTTCTGAAGAGCTCAGACGCCCTACTTGTGCGTTCATATCCCATGCAAGTACTATAATATCTGAACTAGTAGCACTGCGTAGTAGGGCGTTCAGTTCGTGGTAGAAAGTGTCCTTGACTGCATTAGAACTGCAGTCGGTGGGAGCATAAACGGAAATCACAAACAAACAGCGTTTTGTTTTACTTCGTGAATTCACCTTAGCTGATGTCGTCAAACTGGCTGCACATAAACGGCTGTTCACCGGAATCCAATCAACAAACGATGACTCAGCCATGGAGCTTGACCCGTGAGTGCCGCATCGGCGTCTCCGGATGAGTGCAACCAATAAGGAGAGGATAAGCCGGGTGCAGTCAATTCAATAACCCCGTTAGGGTCATTAATCCTAGTTTCGGACACACAACACACATCAACACCCAGTGTGTCTAAAATGTGTGCGAGTGCAGCCTGCTGACCTGTTTGCCTTAGAGTGCGGACGTTGAATGTCGCCACGGAAACGGGACAGCGTGGCCTTATAAGGGACTTTTGCCGATAGGCGTCCGATAGGTGCTGTGGGATGGTGGCTGAAGATGGTACTACTCCAGTAGCACTTCGGTTGCTGTCAATTAAGCTGGGAATTATAGAAGGAAGGTTAGTAATGGGGGCCGGGATGGGAGTAAGAGAAAAAGGTGGAAAAGAAAGAAGGGAGGCGCCAGCGGTAGCATGTTTTCGTTTATCCTCCCTGCTGTATGCAGCAGATAAGGCGACCCTTGATAATCTGCGCGACGGCCGATGCAGGATGAAGTTTATGTTTGAAGAAAATGTCATGGTTGTATGTGGGCTGGGATACTGCCAGGGCGCCCAGAACTAGACAGGAGGACGATTAGGGTTCTCATCCAAAGCCTTTGGCTCAAAAGCCTGTCCGCAAGGCAGCGGGGTGGCAGTGATTTAGTTTTACAGAAATGGACGCAATCCCATTTCAAAACCCCAACCTGGAGGACCAGGAGACTGAGTTTGTCTGACCTCTCATCATTGACCAACCTGGTAGGAGTAGCTCTCAAGATGCTCGAAGGCATCACCCAGAATAGCTCAATGGGTCAATGAGGTACGCAAACCGTCGCACCACGTTAAGGTCCAGTCTCGTCGCGAAGGGGCCGGTGGTCGGCCGGTGGCCGAGTGGTCTGCACGTTTGCTTTGCAACCATAAGGTCACCGGTTCGAACCTGCGTAGGAGTGGGCGTCCTAGCGGTATACTCAGTCCGCGCGCGACTGGTGGTGATCGCGCGGCATCGAAGCGCCGTTACGGCGTACAGCTGACACAAGCTTCTGTACAAACATGTGACCAGCCTCTGGAATGTGAAGCGTAGTGTTCCACCACTTACCTCATCAAATGGATGTGCTCAAACTGTCGAGGATGCATTCAACGTTCTACGTCTGCAATATGCTTCAATAGTTCGATGCACCACCAGCATACGTCACGTACCTGTCCCATTCCCCGGGATGCGAATATTTAAACATGTCACTTTTAGTTCAACGACCGTTTTGAGGAAACTGATGGTGTTGCGCACACATAGTTTACCCGGTGTTGACAAGCTTCCCTCAAAAGCACTCCAGGTGGCAGCCACGAGGATAGCTTAGCCATTAGCTCGATTTTTCTAAAGATGCCTAGATGAAAAGTAGGTCCCTAACATGTGGATCGGTGTTAGGGCCGCGTCTACTCATGAGCTTTAATGACCTCGCGCATACCATCGATTCGAAGTTCCAGCTTCTTGCTGATGAAATCAAGATATGGCGGGCGATCGGCTGTCAGGACGATCACGATGTGCCGCAGAGGGACATAGACCGTGCCGTTGAATGGTCAAAGAGAAATCAACTTCCGTTTAACGCGAACAAGTGCAAGACTATACATGTACGCCACAAGTTCACTTACGCATATAAGCTTGGAGACCACATGCTGAAAACCGTCTCACAGGAGCGCGATCTTGGTGTGGTGATGCAAGACGACTTCGGCTGTTCGGCGCAATCCTTGAAGTCGTCCAAAACCGCCAACCAAAACGTCGGTCTCTTACAGAGGGCATTCTGAAGATTCGACCTCTCCATCTTCCCCTAAAACCTCAATGCGTATGTGAGGCCCCATGTGGAGTACGGGATTCAGGCCGGGCAACTCTGGTTGAAACGCGATCTGCTTACACTGGATACCGCATAGCGAAGAGTAACCAAAAATATGAAAGGAATGCCCCACCTGCCGTACCATCGGCGATTGAAAACTTTAGGAGTGTACAACGGGAGTTATCGCCGTCCACGGAACAATCTTATTCTGATGTTCCAGATGAGGAAAAACCCGATCGTACTTGTCGCCACCATCTAAAACTTAGTCGCGATACAAAATTGAGGGGAAAATAGATGAAACTGGCTACACAATACAGTCGGTCGGAATGCCGCCGGAAGTGTTATTTTCTTTTTGTCACCCCTGGAAAGCTCTTTCGACTTTTGTCATTTCTGCGCCTACGTTACCCGTTTTAAAAAAAACGACTCGATGATGCACCACAACATCTGCATTACCTGATCTGATTTCTGTTCACTTAGTAACAACAGGACGCAGACAAATACTGTGCTCTCCAGCTCTCACGAAATCCATGTAAACGGATATATATGCGTGCGTAAACTGATACACATGTGTGTTATAGAATCCAAGTTGACTTACAGTGGATTTATACTTACGATTACCGCGGTGAATCCACCAGTGTGAATCTAAATATGCTGACAATTTTGTTAATGCTTTGAATTTTTCCTATGATTATCCTGCGTGACCTGTTAAGCCACAGCTTAGTGACCCGTATAAAAAACTATTGTTCCATCATGTGTGCGAGACCAGAATGCAATCACTCCGCAGTAAGTCTTCTCTGTAACTGTATTACTGTCCATGCCATTTACCAACCAACATTTTGTGTTCATATGTATTGTTGCGTCTTATTTTGTTACAATGCTGAAGGCGAACACGTGTTACAGCTAAATATGCATCCCCAACTTTGACGCAGAAAGCTCATCTCTGACTTGAGCTTAAATCGCAAAAAAGCCCATAATTCCACAATGTGAAAGGAAAATCGCTATATTGAATAAAGCATTTCAATTCAAGTGAACAATGATAATCTGGGCACCGAAATGCGGTGGATCCAGTTGCCACGATTCACATTGCCAGTAAAATGATAAACAAGAAGAAGGAGTATAGTCGACGGGGTCAAGATGACAGATGCCCATCCTGAGAGAGGTTTGTTGAAGTATGCAAAGCCAATTGAGAAGCTCAGCTTTCTCCCGAATTATTGAGTTGGATTGGAGGAGAAAAATGATGGCTTCTTGCCCAAAACTCCTGCCTTAGTGTAGAAACTACACAAGTATTCGTGGCTGAACAGGCAAGCACACACGCAACTGACACATGGCCTGAGTGGTAGCCATGAACTGATACCATCCGTGAAAATGGTTATACTAAAATTCAAGCCAAAGCCAGAGCCTTTAAATCAGCTGTTGCCGTTTACACTGAACATCGTTTCCTCGGAATATTGCAACACTGACCTTAGTCAAACTACTTCCAAAGTCATCATTGCTGCCTAACGCTTACTTTCTAAGAAGAACTCAAGATACCGGGCACTTGAAGATAGACCATCCCGGTTGGAAATCTAGTATGCAATGGTGGCTTGTCAACAGAATGCAGCTTTGGATTATCCTGTTCTGTAATGTTTCATTGTTGCTAGTTTATACTGACCATTTATTCAAGTGGTATCTGTACACAGAATCATTTTTCCATTCATACAAAGTTACAGTTCTGAGAATGCACTTTTTACTCAATCGTAGTCGATATTGTAAAGTGCTGAAAATGTACCCTACTGGACACAACGCTTATTTTGACTTGACTTGATTTGTGATTGAAAGTAGAAAAACGACTGAGATGTCACTTCTCTAGACAATATTATGAAGTGTAGGCGAGGTGCGAAAATGTACAAGCAGTTGCATGAACATGGGGCGGATGATAAACTGACAATCAATCTTTCTGGTGATTGCGCTGGAGCCGCTTCTTAGAAGGCACCTTCCGTTTTTTAACATTGACATGTGATTTGGCGCGTTTTGCCGGATGTCTTATCACATGTGCTCCGTTTAATTTCTTCCTCTTGTGCTTTTCATGAACAGATGTTGCGGAAGACGATACGCCCTGGGGAGAATCGGAGTCGCTTTCCTCCTGGGCACTGTCGCTCAGCTCGAACTCAGTCACTTCATCCGGTGCCGATTCAGACGCGACCAGATCGTCGTCAGCCTCATAATCTTCCTCTTCAAGTGCGGCCTTTAAATCGAAGTCACTCTCATCGCTTGTGTGGTCTGGAAGTGCACTGGGGTCTGCGTTGTTTGATTTCTTCGACACGTGGGTCACGGTCGTCCCATCGTCTACATCGTAAGATGCATCACTGTCCGACTCGGTGGAATCGATATCATCCAATCCCTTCAAGGGTTTAAGTTTTCCAGCAACAGATTCGTCTGGAATTGCCTGTGGAAGATGGAGGGAAGGCGGAATCAAAACTCATAGCAGATGGCGGCGAGACAAATGAAACAAGAAAAAGGTGAACAGGTTAGTTGTCAAGAAAGATGGTTTGGAGCAGATTTCACTACATTTTAGATATGGTGACGTCTAGTGCAAGAACCGACATCTGTACAGGGTCACAAGCAGCTTAGTACCTGATTCCACACGGAGGATAGCTTATGATAATGATTCAGAAGATCGTGGCTATACGAAAATTAATGGAGTAACGTGATAGTTTGTGATGCACGCCCCCTCACAACACGCGCTCGTTAATTAGTCCATCATCACTGCTATACTCATAACCCACATGAGCAATGGGACCAAGTACCGCTATTGGCGCGCCGCAATAGTCCAAATGAAACAAAACTTAACCCAAAATTGAATGAAAGGGATTACAAAATACGCCAGTCACCTTTGACAGTTAACTAAAATAGGGTTGAATGAAAAAGCAATGAAAATGGAGGACAATGTTTGAGAAATACGATGAGTGAGTAATCCTAAGGCCTACTAGTTAGTGGTTAGAAGTAAACTCTGGGATTTAGGCGACCATTTGAAGCACCTTCCTCAGCTAACAGCTGACTAGCTCAGTTGACTTGTCTCGGTTAGTGAGAATGCGCCAGAATGAATGAAGGACCAATATCTCCAATAACAACAGTCAACCAGTAGTTCGTATCAGCGACTCGCCGTCGTAGTGTCATAGAGCAAAGCAAAACGCACAAGTAAGGAGGATTAAGAAAAGAACCATAGAAGTGACCACCTTAAGCAGACGTTCCAGGTCAAAGCTGCTGAACAAAGATCACACACACTATGTTCAAGAACACCGGAGTAACGGTATCCGCAAGAATGTCGCCTTGTAGTTATCACTACGGCAACACGAAAATCAACCGCGATATCTCGGGACACACATGAGGTGTATCGAGCAGATCGTAGCGCAGAAATCTAGACGGACAAGCAACACACAATTATCGATCAGAAGCTCAAATGTTCACTCCCGACCGAATAATAATCACCACTTTGATGAATAGACCATCAAGCAAGTGATGAGCGGGTATATGTGGTTGTGACGTCGGGTTTCATACCGATCTCGGCCAGTAATCTGGCTCAGAGGTTTGCATGGCGCAGTGGCCACAGACAAAAATCAAGCATCGGAGATGGTTCTTAGTATGAGAACAATGTGTGAAACAAGCATCCTTATGTGTTGTATTAAAAAATAGATCATTCGATACTTCGGATTTCACCCGAATCACCTAGCGTAACTTCATCTTCTTCACACTTATCGATTGCAGGATCACGGCACGAACGAGGTGGTGTAAGTTCAACAACACACTCAGTAGCCAGGAGTCTTAAAGTTGACATAGTAAAGCACTCGCAGAACGTGTACCAGTGACATCATCTCAGTCACGATCAAAAAGGGCTGAGCAGCCGAAGCGGTAGTGAAGTATACACACGGAGAGAGTAAGAAAGGAACCAGAGTGCCAACATGAGTACCAGTAGCGCGGTTGAGCAAGCAAGAAAAAAAAGGAAACTTCGGAAATAAAACCTATGAAAATGGCTTTACGCTTCAAGGCTCACTGGTCTAGTGCACAGAAACAAGGTGAGTCCGGTTGACAACATACCCGTCACCGAAATAACAATGATATTATTTTCTAAGGTGTAGGGAAGAACGGAAGCAGTCATATGGAATAGTTAACGGTCCAAAATGAGGAAATGAATGTAAGAACGTGGCTGACTTACTGACTGCAGCATTACTGCTAAAGTGTCCAACCACTGATGTGGCTAGTGCCTAGGATCCCAGCTGGGAAGGCAAAAAGCGCCAACACAAGTCAACAGTTTGGTGGTTTTTCCGTCATGTCAATGACTACCCATCTCGGAGATGCACCCAAATAGGCACAGCAATGGCAAACACTGCACAGAGATAGCCGGCCTTCAGATATACGAAGTAAATATCAAAGCCACCAGAAGTGATTCGACCTCAACGGACACTCACCAAAAGGCCCGCTGCCAAAAGTTATTTAGCCTTCCCACCAGATATGAGTACAGCTTAGGACGCATCACTGGCTAAACATCACTGAATATCCTCTGAGAGCTGCCAGTAGCTGTTTGAACTGCACAAATACACTGACCGCTTGACAGGGAGAGAGAGAAAGTCGTCAGCAGAAAGCCGGCACGCCGTACCGAGGTTTTGCTGTCACGCAACCACCACTGGTCGTGCGTAACCTAAAGATACTGCGATGAACGCCCAAGTCCAAAATGCACGCGCGAACCGATGCCATCCGGATTGCAAGGTTACTAGCCGATGCTAACTGAGACGTTTACATTTCAATGAACAATGAATTTATACGGGTTAAGAAGCGTTGCATTACAAGTCCCGTCGGATAGTTGGTGGGGATATCGAAATAACTATATTGATAATAATCATAGTAAAACTGTTATTAGTTTAAATATGAAAATACGGACTTATCGCTTGCTCCGCCGTAGTCCTGCAATCAGGTTAGATTCACATCACCCGTCAAATAATTCCATGGTAAACTCCAGGTGCAGGATGAAGACGTAATGCTAAGTGACAAAGTGTAAGTGAATGGGTGCATCAACCAACTGTCTTTTAAATACTGTTAGTGTCGGTGCAGAGACGACCGATTCTGGGAGAGCATTCCACAGGTGACAGACACGAATGGAAAATAAATTTCTGAGGCACTCCAGGCGGTTAGACTGTAAAGCGAATTTTAGTGAGTGGCCCCTCAGGTTTGTATTGCTGCTGAGTTGCAGTAAAGGGCGGCACACATGATGTGGGTCTCGCAGAATCAAGTATGCTATAATCAGGTCGCCTCGTAGTCTGCGATAACTTCCCCTGAATACCCCCAATAGTTGCGGTCTCTCCTGGTATGACACATTGCGCGTTCCAATTATGTTCTTAGATTCCCGACGTGGTGGCCGCTCCAATGCGTTAAGGTCGTGTTTCAGCCATGGATGCCAGGCTTGAATTGCATATTCGACATAGGAGAGAACATACGCACTGAGCATTTATTGAAGTAGGGAGCTGTTTATTTATCCAAACGCCCATCGAAACAGCCCGACGTGTTCATTTCGAGCCTTCGAGGCCTTTTCGGATTGCCTGGAGCAACCCAAGTCATCTTGAACCAGGACATTCAAGTCACGTTCGACAGTTGTTTGTTGCAGTACATTCGTTCCGTGCCGGTATGGGTAGCTGTTTCGATCTCCGATGGAAAGTCCTTTGCATTTACGCACGTTGAAATGCACTGAATCTTGGGTTGACCATTGATACACCGTATCTACGTCCCTCTGAAGCAGATGCTGGTCGGCGTTCACCTGGATGCTGCTCAAAATCATGATATAATCGTCAAAAATTAGGAAATTTGAAGCGATTCACTGTGCGAGGTCATTAATAACCACCAAAAACAAACTTGGACTTAGTATTGAGCCTTGGGGTACACTACACTCTTGTATGGGGTCCGATAAAGAGCTTCGAACTCTGATCACTAATTGCTGTTGAAGTAGAAAGTTGGCAATCCAGCTTAAAAGTGCGTCGCCGATCCCGTACTGCTGGAGCTGGGAGAGCAGTATCCGATGGTCTAGACGATCGAAAGCCTTCGGAAAATCCAAGTAGATCACATCAACGCCTTCTCCAGCGTCAGCTAACTGGTCTAACTACTGCGTGCGATTAGTAAATGCGTTGTGCATGACCGCTGTCGACGGAAGCCGTGCTGCTCAGGCATGATGATGTTACAGTTTTCCAAATAACACACCAGTGCATCAGCAACCATGGATTCCATGAACTTGGAGAGTATAGGAAGAAGGGATACTGGGCGGTACTCGGAGGGATCAGTTCTGCTTCCACCTTTGTGAATCGGGGTTATTATTCCAAGCTTCCACATGGCGGGAACTTGATTCTGGTCTAAGCAGCGCTGGAAAAACTGAGCTAAAGGTCCTGCCAGTTGGCTTGTTGCTGCTTCCAGTGCCTCTGGACGAATAGTGCCGACACCCGGCGAGCTGTGTTTGCGTAGTGACGTCAGCTTTTGCAATACAGCCTCTGCGGTAAAAGTGATGTGGGTTAGTCCTGGCGAAGAGACGACAAAGGTTAAAAGATCGCTTGGTGGCAAGACCCACTGAAACGTGGGGCATGGTGCATCCGCAGCGCATTTGCTGCTTCCACAGCCGTTCTTGTTGGACCATCGGCCGTTCTGAGTGGAGGAAAATATTGCCTCACCTTTCGTAGGCTATTGACGTGCTTGTACAGCAGTTTGTGGTTAGCACTGAAGGTTTTTGCGATGTTCTGCTGATAGGCGGCTTTGTCTTCTCTTAGCAGTTGAGTGCAGTGGTTACGTTGGGCTACGTAGTTGTCCCAAGTTTCTGGTGCTGGAGCTTCTCTGTACACTCGCCATGCTGCGTTGCGTACTGTCATCCATTTTCGAGTTCTGCTCCTAACGAAAGAAACTGATTTACACTTATTGCAAACTCTTATCTCTGAAGCCTCTGCAATCAGCTGACTGAATTTGTTGACGAACTCGAGCCAGGCGACTTCCGGGGGTTCTTCGCAAGGAACGACCAAGTTGTGGCGCTGACGAGCTGGGCTAATCGATCGTAGCTTGTGATGGTTCGCACAGTCTCATCGTTCTCATTCCGATATTCTGCATAGCAGACGAAGTTGAAACTGATGACTGCGTGATCACTGCGACCCAACGGGCAGTCTAAACTAACACATCAATCATATGCTCCTCGTTGGTAAGCACAAGATCCAGCACAGATGGCCTGTTACCTGTTCTGAACCGAGTGGGCAAAGTGATGTGATTGTAAAGAGGAACAGTGGTTACGAGATCTTGTAGATCGGCTTTGAATTGTTCTCCGATCGTGGCAGGAGTTTCTAAACAATGTACGTTGAAATCACCCATGATAAGTATGTGAGTATATTTTTGCTGTAAACTGCATCTTAAAGCAGCCGTTAAGTAGCT